GTCTCCCTCTCTCTCTCTGCCCCTCCCCTACTCATGCTCTCTCTGTCTCTCTATCAAAAATAAATAAACATTAAAAGAAAGAAATAAAAAGAAAATATCTTTGATGGTAGTGTGACCTGCCATCTAAGAACGTCTGTAGGAAACAACGTGCTGGTTAGTTTGGTCACTGGAACAATAAATTCTTGTTTTATTGAACAAGCTGTCCTTCTGTTGTCTACTTCAGTTACTGTGTATTTTTATTCCTCCCCTGGACATTAAAGGGTGTTTGGTGCTTCATCAGGCTGAATCAGATCTAACAGTCCTTATCAGGACGACCAGCAGCTTTCAAAAAGGAATCAAAAAAACTACAGACCACAGGATTCCAACCATAAGACATTCCGGACCAGGCAAAACCAGAGAGACAGTAAAAAGAGCGGTGGTTGCCAGGGGAAGAGACGAAAGGAGGGATGAAGAGGTGGAGACACAGGACGTTGACAGCAGTGGATCTATTCTGTGTCCCGTACAGTGATAGGTAGAGGCCGTTAGCCATGAGTTCAAACCCACAGTGTGCACACCGGCAAGAGGAAACCTCACGTGGACTATGAGTTTAGGGCGTTTACGATGTGTCTATGTCGGTTTGCTACAAAGGCGCCACTAATTCTGAGGCACGATGTTGACAGTGAGGGAAGCTGTGAGTGGGGGGCACTTGGGAATCCGCTGTGCATCTTCTGCCTAGTTTCGGTGTGAATGTAAAACTGCTCTAAAAAAATAGTCTATTTTTTTAAAGGGATCAGAAATTTTTGTGCTTAAGAATCTCTAAATTAACACAAATTTTTAAAAATTGACACTAAGGACTTAGGCATGTGCCTGCTATATCCAGAGCACTCTGGATCCTATTACCCAGAGCACTCTGACTGATTCATCATCATAACCAGCAAACGCTGCATAGAAGAAAGAAATCCCAACATTCACTATGAGAGTCTAGATTTTGATTCTGTGGCCCTGAATGATTCAACCACATAACTGCTGACAAATGATGCTATACTGCCTAAATTTTATCAAACACAACACAGGGTTGACATCCTTGTTCCAATTTTCTAGACGAGGAAGTGTGGCCCTAAGTGCTAAATCTCTTGCCTGAAGGTCACACAGTTATCCTAAGTTTCAAACTGGTCAGGTTGAACCCGTAATCTGAGCTCCACACTAAACTACCCTCTGGAAAAAACCGGCGTCTCTATCTTCACACTCCTGACTGGCTCACTAACCTCGTTGTTAGAATACCTGCTATTTACTGAATATTCACAATTCTCACTGCCCTACACAGCTTATATTATTTAGTTCTTCACAACAATCCCACGATATAAGCTTCACCAGCTTTTGTGAACAAATGATAAGACATGGTAAGGCCGACTGGGGAAGACCAAGGCATCTTGATCGTGTTCCAAAACTGATATGTGACACGAAGTCCAAGCTCCTTTCACAGGGATATATTTCTTTCAAGACTAGAAAGCTGTCTGTTCTTTCTCTTTCAGGTCTTCCTTTCCACTTAAGAGGGGGGGAATCATAAAACTGCTATGAAATCATACTTCTACATTGCCATTTCTTCAGTTTTCATAAATTTTCTCTTGATACGAGAAAGGGGAATCATGATTTAGCTTGTATAAAATTTCCATTCAATAAAATGGATAGGGTGCCTACTACATAACTTGAATGACAGCAGTGAAAATACAGGACAGCACCCTATCCTCATGGAACTTGTACTTCGGTGGGAAATTGACGTAAAGTGAAAATATTAGTTAATGCTTTGAAGACAAAGAGAGCAGAATGAAGGGTTAGAGGTTGAAGATGGTTGTACCATATTTTGATGGTACAATCAGAGAAAGTCTGCTTCCATAGATAACATTAAAGCAGCTAAGAGACAGGCGTGATTCTAGATTTTTTTTCAGGTGTAAATCAGCTATTATTTTGACAAGAGGTTAAGAGTACATAAACCCCTTCTGTAGCGGTAACCCAGACACTGAATGATTGCTATTCCAAGCATAAATATTGAGAATCCTCTTCTCCACAGGACATTGTACATGGCGCTCGAAGGTGAAATCTGTGATGTAGTAAGAGATAATTGTTACAGAGCGCATGCTTTTATTACAGAAGAAATACTCAGGCATGCATTAAGCTTTTCTTATTGTATACGGCACATAATTACTAAAAGTTTCGCCGTCTGATATCTGAAGCTTCTTCTGGCAACTTGGAAGTGAAAGATATTTTGCTAGAGAGAGGCAGTGAGAAATTGGTACCTGTCAACCTGAACTCAAGGGAAGATGCAGAATTAACAAACGAGTGTCCATCTAAAATTATGAAATGATGGCAGGCTAGGTTGGCTGGCTCAGAGTGAACTCGTAAAGACATTTAGTAATCTTTTAGAGCATTCAGAATATCAGAGAACTGTGGCTTCATAAATAGTCCCAACTTTGTCTGATTCAACAATGACATGTTAGGTATACACTGTTCAAAAGGCACAATGTGGCATATTTTCTAATATTGTCTAAAATTAGTCTCCTTGGTTTTTGAAAGAATAAGACTTGGCCATCTAGACCCATCACTTTGAGAAATAACATTCCCTGGGCTCACTGGATTGATGACTCAATGAGTTTTTTGAATCATTTGGGGCTACAAAAAATCAAGATATGTACTCTAATAATGACTCTTAAGGTTCCTTTCTTCTCTGCAGCGTTTTGAGGTTATGTTGATGCATCGGTCAAAGCATCCTGAATAACAGCATCATCTCACATCTAATTTCCATACCTCTTTGAAGGCACTCTCAGAATCTCCACGTATTTTAAGTGAAGCTCTCCATTTCAGGAAAAGGGTACACTGAATTATTAAGATGGTGTTTTATGGGTTTAATCTGAACACTGTAGTGATTAAAATGACCTAATGCAATAAAAATATAGCTATATGAATATAGACATATAAGTAAGCAAAAATCCATTACTCTGTAAGGTCTTCTATCTTTTTCTCCACCAGAGTCGGGGGCACGTTCGAAACGATCACCTGCATGTCCAGCTGGTTGACCACAGAGACCTGCAGGAGGAGAACCAGAGCCCGTTGAGAACTAACGAGCATTTTTATAACCCATTTCTTTCCTACTATGCATAGACCCAGTGGCTCCCCATGTTTCATTTAGGAGTAAGTATCTTTAGTGAGACAACCGCCATTAGATGTTGGGCAGGTGGAGATGGGTAGACTATCATTGCTTACTTAGAAGTAACAGAGCCCTAAGTGACTTCTACTCTTGTTGGTTTCTGTGGGGGTTTTTTGTTGGTTGGTGATTGTCTAAAGCATGAAGGAAGGCACATTCATTTTTCTAATTGGGTTATTTAAGAACACTCAGGATAATGGAAAACACGGGTTTTACAAATCTCAGGAAAGCATTCATCCAGTGTGACTAAGAAGCTGAGATGTGAGTAGTTAGAATAATTCATTCCATGGGATCATTAGACAGCCTTCATGTCTGCTTCAGCAGATGCTGGGTTTGTTATGCCCCTGAATACTGGCTTTGTGTATCATGTACAACAAAGGTATTTAAATGTTTACCATTCCTAGATCTTATTTATGTTACTTTCCCAGTGCAGTGGTTAGGCAAATATTTCCAGAAATAAACAGGTCATTTTTGAAGGAATTCTGCTTATAAAATTCTGCTTATAAAGACTTTTTAAAAACATATTTCTATTATTGTTGGGTTCAATCTCTGTAATGGATTAAAATTACAAGAAAGAGTCAAAAGAAGAAAAAGTAATATTTGTGAAGCACACATTCTAAAATCAGAGGTTGCCAGTGTACGTATTATTTCTAAGTTCTTCTAATTCTTCCTAATGAACTTCTTAGCTTTCCTTTTTTTATCTATTTGTGCCCAGGTACTTTAGATAGTAGTGGCCAATAAAAAAATTAATGTAAGCCACATATACATGCAGATATGTAATTTAAGAGTTTCTGGTCCCCATGATAGAAAGATTTAAAAAAACAGTGAAAGCCATTTAATAATACACTTCACCCAATATGTTAATAGATTATCATCCCAACACACAATCAATACAAAACAACTTATTGAGACATTTTACATTTTTTATACTAAGTCTTTGAAGCCCAGTGTATACTGTATGCATACTTACAGTACGTCTCAATGTGACACGGCCACATTTCAAGTGCTCAGTGGCCACAGAGGACAAGTAACTAACACACTGGACAGCAAAGCTCTAGAAACCCTCACCTTCTCTTGCTGGTCACTGTCTCTCCTGACTGGTCTCTGGTGCCATCTCATTTTTCTTGAAAAGGAAGAGGCAGCTTAATAATCTTTTTTAGACAGCTTTGTATAGTCTTTGATACAACACCAAAAGTCAAGTGCTAGTCTGAGTGTGAAATTGAAAATCGGGTTTAGTTACATTAAACCACATTTATCTATCTTCCACTTTCAATGGATCTTTACCCACAAATGATGCTTTAATATCATGCATTGGTCATTTGGAAAATGCCGGTTCATTGAGTAACACAGATTCTTCAAATATTGAAACACTACATAATACAATATCAAGAAAAATGTCACATTCCTTAAAATGACCACTGATCTCATGGTCTTTAATAATGGGAAGCTGTCAGGCTCACACTGGTGACTGACTACAAGCTTTCCAATATTCTTTTTATCCTTAAAATTTATTTTACTTTTATTTACTTTCATTTTTTTTTAAGTGTATTCATTTATTTTGAGAGCGAGAGAGTGTGCAAGAGCGGGGTGGGAAGGGCAGAGAGAGGGAGAGAGAATCCCAAGCAGGCTCTGCGCTGTGAGCGCAGACATGGGGCACGATCCCACAAACCACGGGATCATGACCTGAGCTGAAGTCAGATGCTTACTGACTGAGCCACCCAGGCGCCCCCAAGCTTTCCAATATTCTACTTTGCGCTTGGAAGCTTTGATGCTATCAGTAGCCACAAATACTGTCCGTTGTTTTCCTTGAACTCACCGTCTCACTTCATTCATTTTTGTGTAAATGTCTACCAAATATTCAAGTCTGAATAAGCCTATTTTATCTCAAGTTATTTTTTCAAAGCAAAAGCTATTTTGTAAAAAAACAAAAACCCAGCCAATTCAGCTTACATAATAGTTCTCCTTCAGACTGCCCTCTACGTCCTTAAACAACAGAAGTGTTCGAAGCATACTTCCCATTTCATTACACAACATATTGAAAAGGTATTTAGTCAAGAGTGGAGGTTTGTTAAAATTAATCAGGTTTACTGCTTACGAGTAAGGACACTCTTCAAGCTTTTTTTTTTTTTTTCCTGTTTATGTATGACTATGAAGGATACAGTGAAAATAGTGGTGCAAATGCAATACAGTAAAAAAGTCAAACAATGCCCTAGCAGTCTCATGAAAAAAGTTCTGACTCCACCAAACCCCAAAATTATTTGGGGGGGCCCTCGGCACTCCATGGACCACACTTTGATAACTGCCAATTTACACTGTAAGACAGAGGTGATTCACCCGTCGAATGGGCACTGGGTACCCTCTGTATGTCAGGAATTATTCTGGGCATTTGAGATACATCAGGGAATAAAATAATTAATTAAAAACAACAACAAAAAGCTATCCTCATGCAGTTTCCGGGTGGAAATACGAACATGAATATAAATCCACTGTAAAGAGAAAACAATTAAGAGGTGTGATGTTACACTGTCGGCTGCAATTCTGAGCTGGATGGTCTGAGGAGGCTCCAGTGTGAAATACATCCTTGGAAATTTTTGGAGGAGATGAGGGAGCTAATTCTGAACACTTTGGGGGAAAGAACATTCTAGACAGAAGCACTGCAAAATCACAAAAGTGAGGGAATGTCTGCCTATTTGGGGAACAGCAAGTTGGCCAATATTACTGGGTCTGAAGGACTTCAGTGGAGAATAGAAAATGATGTCAATGAAGGCCAGATTATCCAGGGCCTCATAGTCTTCTGTAATGACCCAGGAATTTCTCTGAAAGACCTGGGTGATAGGAAAAGCTTTTGAGCAGAGAAACAACAGGACCTGAATTACCTTGTAAGGGATCACTTTGGCTGCTATATTAACACCAGACTTGAGTAGAGGAAGAGAGGAAGCATGGGGGCAAGTTACTGAGTTTGTGAGATGACACAGGTGAAATAGGAGGGTGGTTTCAACCAGGCTCCAATAGGAGAAGGGTTGAAAAATGTGTAGATGACATATACATTTATATATATATATATATATATATATATATATATATATATATACACACACACACACACACACACATACATATATATATATATATATATATATACATACACACACACATACATATACATATATATGTTCGTCACACACACACATATATACATAACATTTATGAATACCACAGTATTTACTGAGGGATTCATTGTATGCCTTAGGAGAGAAAGGAATCAAGAGCTTTTTAGCCTAAGGAACACAAAGATGATCTGGTCATCGAGTAAAACTGAGGAGACGGGGAGGGAGGGATGACAGAGTGAAGAGATGTGATGAAGAAGAGGAACTCAGTTCAGGAAACATTAAATAGGCATCTTCACCCAACTTTCCAGTGTGCACACAGATCTATGAATTTGCTGTTCAGAAATGATCTTTGGGGCCAAAACATAAATGTGATGTTCTTTAGTATATAGATGACATTTTAAAGTTCTGGTGACTGAATGAGTTTACGGAGAATAGACAGAAAAGAGAATTAATGTCTGACCCAGAAGAAACATCAATATTAAAAGGTCAGGAGAGGAAAATGAACCAGAAAGGAGACTGAGAAGGGACGAACAGTGAGGTAAGAGACGACCACAGGATAATGTGGCCCAGAAGCCTCATAAAGGTAATAACCACTCGAGTATTGCTGATGGTTCAAATACGATGACGACTGACATTACCAGTGAATTTAGTAACATGGAAGATCTGGATGAGGGCTTGGAGCAGAGTTATAATTAGAGACGGTTCAAGAGAGATTCCACAGCAAAAACCTAGAGCCCACCCCAGCAGTGAGTTTTTCTGGAAAGAGGAACATAGAAATTAAGTGGTATTTGGAAGGAGATGTAGGTCAAGAGGGTTTTTAACATCAGTTTGGAAGATGGAAAACCAGCATGTTTATGGGAATAATCCAATAAAGGGGAGATTGATATGGCTCTTGCATAAAAGAAACAGAAGAGCGTCTGAAACGATGTCCCAGAGCTGGCGGGTGGGGATTGGGCCTGTTGTACAGGTAGAAGTAATGATAGGAGCATAAAGAACTTGTCTAAGTGAGCAGGGAAGAAGACAGAGCATACATTGGTATAAATTCTGGTAGATCAGTAAGATTCGTGGTGCGGGTTGTAGTAGTCGTCTTCTAATGCCTTAATTTTATCTTTCAGTGAAACAGAATGTCCATTAACCAGACAACAGTGAGGTTGAGAAGATACTGGAGGACGGCCCAATAGGGGCTCTTGCAGGAGAGACGCGTGGAGGGACCAGGAAGCACAGTGTGGTGCTCACGTGGGGGCTTTTATCATTAATTTAGAGTAAGACTCTACAACTGTGTATGTTTCTGGAGACATACTCAGCATGACTATAGGTCTGGAGAGAGGAGAATGTTGGAATTATTTAGACTTATGGTTTTGCCAAATGAGTATGATGTCGGGAGAAAGGGCAAGGAAGTTGAATCCCTATGTGACTGAGGGCTTATGGTGGTCAGTGTTGTACTATAAAGCTAGTGTGCAGCAGAGAGAAACCATGAGGGTGGAGGGAGGCTAAATGGACTGAAGGTCCTGGAGGAGCCACGGAGTGCTGGTGTTAGCTGGGTATGTTCAGTATGACTTTCGAAGAGTGGGAGGCTTGAAATGGAGGTTATAGAGGGGATGCATTCACTGGTAATGGCAGAAATAGCTGGCTTCTAGTGGATGCAATAGGGTGGAGGGCAAAAGCACCAGAGAAGAGGCAGCCAAGAGGTTGTAAATTCAGGATACTGGAGGAATCATTTGTGTGTGTGAAACTGCCAAAAATCAGGACAATGGGATTGCTGGAAATGGTGACAGTAACCAGAAACTTAACTCACTGAGTGTGTTGGGGGGGAAGACCCAAGGTTTGGGAGATCACAGCAACAATGTGAGAGAGGCAGTGAGTGACAGGCTCAGACGGGGAGAACCAAGGCTGGATCTCAAGAAGAGGGAAGGTCTAGAAGTAGCCACGTCATGCTCAAAGGTCCCCCTCAGCCAGTGCGTGGTCTGAAGTGCAGCAAACAGAAACAGAAAAGGATTCAAACAGAAGCCAGCAGCGTGAGGAGTGTCCTCTTGGGAGAACAGAGTCCCAATAAGCAAGGTTTCTTCTGAATTAAAAATCTTACCTTCACTCACTCCTGCTAAAAATTTTCCAATGCTTTCCCACTACTTTTTTTTTTTTCAACGTTTTTTATTTATTTTTGGGATA